GAAGTACGCGGATTGTTGCTCCAGTGAATGCAGTTGATCATAGATGACCTTCATCTGCTCCTTGGAATACGTTGATTCAGCTGTTCCTGCGCTGATCCAACCTAGATTCGCGTCGATATGCCAAGCAGGGGTACTAGTAAAGGCTGGAAAAGCAAACCAGTAGTAATACCTATATTTCTTCAGATCGGCATAGGTAATGAGGAGAAACGAATTAAGCAGTGTAGTAGAACGCGCTGTTTGGATCGATGTCCAGATCTGATGGATAATTCGAGCATCTGGTATTGGAAAAACACATCGGAAGTACCTTGTCCGCTGCTTCGTTGAATAATTTCGACTTGTCCGCAGCCTTGAAATCCTCAATAGTGTTATAGTTCTTTACGACACCTTTCGCAACTGCTGAGCCTATTGCAGGACTGATATGGAGTGAGCGATTGAGGCGTATACTAAAGATGTTTCGTACGACGAATGCCCTTGACCAAAGCTCTCTTCCTCAACTCCAAGACTCCCTCCAACACCAACAAATGCACCGGGACCACCTTCGCGATCTTCAATCAGCCTACCAACGCGGTAAGTTGCAGTGATATCGACACCAGCGTCGCTGAGCTTGAGTACATCCAGCTTATGTTCGGTCAGTTTGTGCCAAAAGGAAGGATGTGTTAGCGACGGAAGAGGCGTAAATTGTACAATGGTTGGGGTCATCGTAGTTCAAAGTAGTCAAAGCGATACATACTGATACATATATACGCTTATATATAGGCTTATTGCACTTGAAGTTACAATATAACCGTGACTTGTGTGACCTCCAATGCTTTCTTTGAATCATTTCCTCCGTCCTATTACTACCAGGCCCTTTTCAACTGGTAGATGCCTCGTACGGCCTCAAAAACATCTCACTGGAGCTCAATTATGGAAGCGACACGTCGGAACGTCTCCAGAACCTTCTCAACCTTCTCGACCGTCCTCTGAGCCCAGTCGACCTCAGCGCAATGTCATTGGGGTCAGAGTATTCCATCCCTTTTTCGTCCTATGGGCTTAATTTTCTTCTAGGCATTCACTCCAACATCGGCTGCTATATTTGTCGTTGTCGGTGTAGGTCTCTTCTGGTATTTCCGTAATGAAAAAGCAAAACTCCAGGAGCAACGCGGTATGTGCTTGTCCCTGGATTTTGACTGACCTAATTCGTGTCATTAGAAAAAGAAAGAATGTCAAAATCATATGGTCGTCCGCATGTTGGCGGCCCCTTCTCATTGGTCAACTGCACCGCCGCCCCGTCTTCCTCCGAAGAGCGATTTACACATGAAGACCTGCTCCGAAAATGGTCCTTGGTTTATTTCGGCTTTACCAACTGTCCAGATATTTGTCCTGCAGAACTGGATAAAGTTACTGCCGTTGTCAATGAACTACGTAGGTCTTTATTGTCCATGTCCTAGTGTAAAGCTTTATGGTGTCCCTCTAGGTCAATCAAACCCTGATCTTCCGCTACAACCTGTTTTCATTTCTGTCGATCCTGCGAGGGATACTCCTTCGACTATTCGTACTTACCTGACAGATTTTCACCCTTCCTTCGTTGGTCTTGTTGGAAATTTTGAACAAACAAAATCTGTGTGCAAGGCATATCGTGTATACTTTTCAACACCCCCAGATGCAGATCCCAAGGGAGATTATCTAGTGGACCATTCAATATTTGTGTATTTGATGGATCCTGAAGGCAGGTTTGTGGAGGCTTTTGGACAAACAGCTGAGAAGGAGGAAATGGTGGATAAGATCAGACAATTCGTCGTGGAATGGAGTCGATAATAGTAGTATATATTCTCTAAGATTACAGGACATCAATTAAACACCCAACTCTTTATCCACTTGGTTTTCTTCCTTTGCAAAGTGGCGCAGTGTGGCGTACTTTCGGGTATACTAGGAGCTGAGTAATAGTGACTTTCCGGTCCTGTCCGGCTGCCGTGACGCGTCGGTACGGCTCGAGTAACGAGTCATTCATTAAAAAATCCTAAGCCGGACGTTGATCTCGACCGCCGTCTGGAATTCCAGTCCACTTTGTAGCAGCGAAATGCTGCCCCTGCCAAAAGTTGCATATGTTACTTCGCGTGTCGTAACTACCTTTGGACAAAATCCAACAATTCGAAATGCCCTCCATCTCCAGCCTTCTCCTTCATCGTCCTCTAAAACTAGTTCACCGGGCAGCAACTATTTCCAGCAAAACAAAGGTTCGAGTAAGCCCCTCTATAACTTTTTCGACCAAGCTAGTGGTGGATCGAAGGGCAGCCGATTCACCCATGGCTACCTTGTGAGTGTATGATAAAATGTGTTTTCTGAGCATGTCCTCACGGTTTCATAGGGCGCTTCACGGGTAGTGACCCAGGTTCAGCCAGTCATTGTCAATGATACGAGCTATACGCAAAGTGATGACTCTGAGGAAGTTGTCACTATCAAGCATGTTTCTCCTCGTCAGCCACAGGCTAGGCGCTATAGAAGTCACAGCCTGTCATACACACCACAAGAAGCTGCACAAAAATTGAGCGTTCTTTCCACCGTTCAATTACATGCTCGCTCGAAGCATGCTTTTACTCAGGCATTGACTACGGACGATATCGTACCTGATTTGGCTGATTCTGCTCCTTCTACTCCTCCTTTGGCGCGTCGAAACTCGACAGCGAGCGTCACCCGTCCGGACACCCCTCCAATCGATACGTTGCCACCTCCACTTCCTGTGCCTGAAACTTTGCCGCCTATCGTAAATCAGACCGACAACCTACACAACACCCATACTTCTCAATCCTCAGACCACTATCGCGCATTCGTTCATGCGCGCTCATCTGGTGATCATGAAGTTGCTTTGCTCGCTGTCAACAACTTTCGTGCTGCTCTCGCTGCCAAATTGGTCGACCCTTCCATCTACGAATTTAATGCTGCTCTGGGAGGCTTTGTATCATACTCGCCCCCGAGGTTCGCCCTTGGCGGATATTCAGGATCTTTATAACTCTATGATCAGTCTAGGCATTCATCCCAACGTTCGTACTCATATCACCCTCATCTTGGCTCATTGCGACCGCGATCATGAAGTTGTGTGGGCCTTGAACGGTATTGAACAGAAACTGAAGAGCCAGAGGATCCTCAATCCCTCTGCAGAATATTCTCTTTCGTCAGAAGATCAAGCCCGAAAAGATGCTCTAGAAAAGGAAAACAATTTTGCTTCAGCAGTGTCTCTTTTCCAGATTCTTCGTACTATGCCTCACAAGGAACATCTCCAAATACAGTTATTCAGTAGCCTTTTGAGCTGCTGTGCCCACTATGGTGCTGTCGATATTGCCATTATGGTCTGGGAGATCGTCGAACAACATTCCTTGCAGCCCTCTGCCGTCCTTTACAAATCCATGATACAAACATTTGCTCGAGTAGGCGAACTCAATGCTGCAGAAGATGTATTTGCCGATTTTCGAGAACAATCAGCAGCCGGTAGAATTGCATGGGGCTCCTCAGGGTCTCAACCTTCTTCCCGTGCTGCTGTTCGCATCTGGAACGTTATGATGGAGGCGTACTTCAAGTGTGGTAAACCTGATATGGCAGTTGGACTTTTGCAAGAAATGTTGGAACCTCGCCAGTCGGAAGCTAATGCGGATACTCGGCCTGAGCTACCTTCTCCTGCTCCATCTACGTACACCACAATCATAGCCGGGTTCTGTAATTCAGGTATGACTATAGTTCTTTATCGAAGTCTTTCTCTACTCACAAGCAACATAGGTGACTATCAGAGTGCGATGACCTGGTTCAACACCCTTGTGACACAATCCTCTTCCCCTGGCTTTTCCTTCGATCCTTCTCCTCTGCCTTCACGTCCCGATGCTCTTGCGTACCGAGTGCTTCTTGAAACACTATCTCAGAGAACGGACGCGCTCCCGGAAATGAACGCGGTCTGGTCTAAATTGTTAGAATTTTCTGCTCAGGATGGTATCGAAATCAGGCTGCTCGATAGGTGCTACGTTGCTCAAACCAATCTGGCTGCGGTTCGCTCTCTTCTAACTGCTGTTAGCGGGGAAGCGTTATCAGGGGAATGCTTAAAGGAATGCTCTGAGCATCTCGCAGTCGCTCAATCAACAGTCCTCTCACAATCTCCCATTTCAACCTACGTAGCCGGGATCTGGGAGGCCTATTTTGATTTAGGTTTGCCTACACACGCAATGGACTTCGCAATGCCATTATTCAATCAACAGACGTCTATTTCTCCCGGATTCCGCGCGCATCTCACCCACTTTGCTCAGCTAGCAGCTGCACAAAACTGGGAAAAATGTTCAAGTGGCTTGGTTTCTTTTGGATACGCAATTGCTCTCATCAATCTCATGTACCGATCTCGAATGGAAGTTCATCCTCGTCTTCACCTCTATCTCATGCAGCAGTACTACTACGCTCGGGAACAATCTATGACCAAGATGGAGCTTTCGCACAAGCAACTGAAAGCGCTTTGCGTTGCAGGAGCTACGTTGGAGATGGTTGAGCCTCACCACCGGCCGAATTTTGCAGGACTAGTGCCTCTCTTGGAAGACCTTGTGCAACAGAAGTACAATATCAGTCAACCCTTGGGAGAACACGACGTTAGACAGCATGTATTTAGCGCCCTCATGTATGATCGGTCGGCCTATCAAGTGAAGTCTTTAATTGGAGAGCTTGGCCTTGAAACTGTATTCAAGACCTACCTGGATACAACAGAACCTGCAGCTGCTACACCATCTCCGTCCATTGCTCTCTCTCCAATTTCTGATAATGACTTCTCAGAGGCGGAACCGGATACTCCTCTTACAAATCCGTCGATTTCTTCTGATGATCTTTCCCGTCCGACACCGCAAAACTTAGTATATGGACTGAAAAATGGCGGGACCCCAAAACCGCTCACCATTGACAGAGAGGTGACCCGGAAGGCAGACAGAGTTTTACTCGAAAGTCCTGAGGTTATGTGGGACTTCTTTACCCGAAACCTGGGGAAGGGAAAAGTTCCTGCTCCTTACACGCTTTCGCGCCTTTGTCAAGTTTTTGGACGAGCTAAAGATGTCGAAAAGGTTAAGGTTATATACAACGTGGCACAATCAGTCCTTGCATCTATGGAATCCAACAAGCAATTGCAATCGGATGCCTGGTTCCTCTTCGAGGATGGTATGATCATCGCTATGGCGCAAGCCGGAGAGATCGACGCAGCTCATGTGCACCGACAGCGTATCCTCGAACAAGGCGGTGCTCCCTCTGCTGACGCTTACGGTGGATTGATCCTCAATGTGAAGGACACGACCGATGACACCAGCAATGCCATGGCGCTGTTCAACGAATCCCAATCGCTTCATGTCGTTCCCAATCATTATCTCTATAACAACATTATCTCTAAGCTGGCCAAGGCTCGTAAAGCCGACGCCGCCTTGGATTTATTTACACGCATGAAGGCGTCGGGGATCGCCCCTTCTTCGATTACTTATGGCGCTGTGATTGGAGCTTGTGCGAGAGTGGGTGATGCTGCGTCAGCGGAGGCCCTCTACGCGGAAATGGTATCAGTTCCCAATTTCAAACCAAGGATTCCGCCGTTCAATACCATGATGCAGCTTTACACCACGACGAAGCCCAATAGAGACAGAGCCCTTTTCTTCTATCATGAATTATTGAAGTATAATGTTCATCCCACATCGTACACGTACAAGGTAAGTTGCTGTCATTTTACCTCCGCTGAGTTAATCAATCTCTCCTCCAGCTACTCATG